TTGTCATCATTCCTTGCCACCAGCCTTTGCGCGCGTCCACGCCTTTGCATGACCGTTACGATACCTCATTGCAACTTACACAATCGCGTCAAATCAACTTGTCACTGCGTGAGCCGAGTGCCACGCTCCGCCAACAGCCACTGAGGCACTCGACATCAACACGCAAACAATCGCATTCCTACCAGCAGCCTTTCCGATTGCAGGTGCATTTGCCGAATCTTCAACATGGTGCCTGCACCACAATCTCTACCGACACGGTTCCCGTGCTGGTGCAGAGCAGTCTACTCTTGGGGCGGAGAGGTTTGTTGCAGCTATTCGAGCCTCGATGAGAGGACTGGCTTACAAAGTACTGACTTGACTTCCCGCAGTCTAAACGAGATCTCGGCTTCATCGAGGGTGATTTGATCGAATGTCTTAACGCTGGAGATGGTTCATGGTGGACAGGAAGACTATGGCGCGACAGAAGGACTGTGGGAGTGTTTCCCTCCAATTTCGTCGAGGTCCTCCCCGCGAACTTTAGACCAACGACGAGGTCAGCCAGCCCTCTCCCAGCAGAGAACACACCGAGTCCAAGCACACCTCAAAAGTCGAGGACTTTCCGAAAGCCTTTCGAGGCCTATTCCAAAGCACCGCACTACACCGCTGCGAAACAGCCCGAGGTGTACCGGACGAACCCAAATCCGAGGCCTAGAGGGCACTCTGGAGAGTCGATTCACAGTGCAATGGAGGAGCAGACCAGAAGAGACCGGTCACCGGCCCCGGAAGCCTTCCTTTCGAGAGAGAACTCTTTCAATGAAACCGCCTCGACTAGAATGCGAGCATACACGTCGCCAGCCCCAACCGGTTACGTATCGCGGGGTAACTCGTTCAACGATGGCGTGCAACAGCAGTACATGCCGAGAGGAAGGACTCCTGTGCCAAGAGGAAGAACACCCGTCCCAAGGGAGAGAACACCAATACCCCCTAGAGAAAGAACGCCCGTCCCCGACTATGGCCACGGCCACGGATCAAGACAGAACTCTTACAACACGGAAAGGGGCCCGTCTCCCATACCGCCATCCCACAACTTCCACTCAAGAGGCCCGTCGCCGGCTCCCTCAGTCAGCTATAAGCCTTACCGTCCTCCCACACGAGAAAAGGTGGATTCTCCTCCACCCCCGGCCCCACCTCCGCACCGACATGTAGCGGCTTCACGGCACAAGCAAAGCATATCCTACGACAGCAGGCACGATAGCTCTCGTCAGGACTCGCACGGCTCATTCGACAACCGCTTTACTTCCAGTCGACATGGGTCGGGTAACTCCTTTGACAAGCGATTCGATGTCGTGCGGCAGGACTCGAGCGCCTCATATGATAACCGCCATCCTCCTCTGGACAGGCACGGCTCTCATCTTTCATACCAAGCTCATCGGCCATCGCCGATACAGACTCAGCGGCATCACTCCCCAGCTCCACCTTCGCCATCAGCAAGCCATATGACTCCCTCGCCTTTGCGAGAGGCAATGGATGGCGTGATCGAGCAGCTGGACGCACTGGGAATGCCTCGAGATCCGACACCAGAGCCGCCACTGGATCCGTGGTCGCCCGAGTCGTTTGATATGGTGAATGACCGCGCTAGGAGAAAGAACACTTACCAAAGACCACAGACATCCATGGGCATAGCACAACAGGACGAAGGGTACGAAACCTGGAGCGGCGGATCGTCACGAGACCAATCCTATCATAACGGACATCGGGAGGATAAAGAGCAGCTACCTCAACTGAGTAACTACGTCGAACGTATGGAAAGTCGTCTCAAAAAAATGCATCAACATAGCGCAAGTATGGCTGACCTTGAGGATGAGGCACCGAAGCCACCCCCCAAAGGCCAGTTATACGAGAGACCCAAGTCTTCGATGGGTGGACCGGAGGAGAGGAAGCTTCGCGGGCGCAAGTCGGCTTACGACATTGGCCGCAACGTCCTGAACAGGACGTTTACGACGAAGACCAACTCTACCAGCGCCTCCTCAGGCAATCAGAGTTCGACGACGCAAAGCAGCGACAGGAGTTTGATGAGTGGGTCGTCAGCCGGCGCTATTAGCGCAACGAGCGCTGGCAGCTTCGCTCGCAAAACCCAGAAGCGGGCCCAGAGTGCCCTGGGCATGCGTGATGCTGATATCGAGCGCCCAGAAACGCCATTCACTGGGGTTACCTATCACAGCAGTCACGCCTCAGAAGCATCTCGGCCAAAGTCGCAAGCTGGCTTTCATGAAGATGCTGGCCTTGGAGGCCTCGTCACCCCAAAACCCCCAAAGAGGAACATCTTCAAGAAGCTCCTCGACACAGCCAAGACCGGGGTGGCATCCGGGCGCAGTAGTATTGCCATGGGTGCCGACTCGCCCAGATCGTCGCCTTTTGCTCGCTCCATGCCCAATGTTGCCGCTCAAGCTGGTGCTAGCGTATCCAACTTGACCAACTTGGGTAGCGCTGGCTTCGGTAGGGAAGCAGCCAGGGAAATGGGGCTTGCAAGCGGAGTGGACTGGGTTCAGGTCCGCAGAGACGTCAATCGATCCAACTCTCTGAGTAAGAATGAGAGGAACGAGCGGAAAGACCGCTGCCAAATGCTCGACTACCCTGCGTTGAACCCAGTCGATGAGTTGTACGAAGGCATGGAGGGTGACGAGGGCGCCGACGGTCAGCCTGTGGAGGACCCCATCGACTACCAATCAATAAATCTCACCCAGGTGGACAAGAACTCGAGGTTTGTGGCTAGCTTTCCACCAACGACGACAGCACAGAGCTTGGCAACAACCTATGTATGTCGACCATACCGCAGCGACGTCCAGAGACTGCGGGCAATTTTTACTTGGGTATCCGAGAAGCTTGTCTGGGAAGAGGACTTTGAAGGCGAAGTAGACACTCGGAGGGTACTGCAATCAAAGCGAGCGAGTGCCGAAGAGTATGCGGTCATTGTGTACGAAATGTGCTCCGCCGTCGGTATCCAGTGCGAGGTCATCCGCGGGTACCTCAAGACGCCCGGCGAGATTCCAGAGCACAATATCATGCCTCGGGCGAATCACTGGTGGAATGCGGTTCTGGTCGACAACGACTGGCGAATGATTGACTGCTGCATGGCCAGCCCTTCATATCCCAGGCGGCATCTCTACTCGAGTGCTAGCAACAGCGCCGCGGACTTTTGGTGGTTCCTCACGCGGCCGACAGAGCTCTGCTGGACACATATCCCTGAACACCACACTCAACAACACATGTGCCCGCCACAGGCTCATGAAGTTCTCCTCAACTTGCCTTGCGCCTGCCCTCCCTTCTTCAAGAACACGCTCGAGATGGTCGATTACAATACGGCAGCAACTCGCATCGAGGATCTGGAGATGGTACATGTCAAGTTCAACGCTCCACCTGACGTCGAGATTGCTGCTGAAGTCGAAGTCCGCGGCTACACCAGAGATGTCGATGGTGACGTATTCGAGAGCGGCGAAGTTGTGAAAAAGAGAGCGCTGGCTCAAGCGGAGTGGTTCAACGGCACCAAACGATACACCGTCAAGGCTTTGCTGCCTGGTGATGAGGGCCAGGGAGTCTTGAAGATTTATGCCGGCAAGCGTGGTCTGATGCATAGCATCAAAGACATTCCTCATCCAGTGGCATTCGCGCTGCCCATCATTCATACGGGCGAGAACCCTCCGTACGAGTTTGTGACGCGGCACCCGACGCCTCATGCACAGCGTCACGATATCTACGTTGTTCAGCCTCAATGTCAACGTCTGGCTTTGAACAACACTTTTGTTTTCGCAATTCGGCAGCATCCCAGCTCTGCGGGCGCGGTCGGCTCGGTGATGACACCGTCATCCAATCCTGGAGGCGCAAGCCCGATCCCCTTTATAAGACCGAGCTCCGCCATGAGTATGACCGCCTCCAGCGCCAGCGGCTCGAACCTCAGTTCAGCAGCTGCCGGTGGGAAGAAGCCAGCGAAGTTGGCGATTCAGACTCCTGGCGGCAAAATTCTCCGTCTTATGAGGAAAGAGGAGCGCAGAGGAGTCAGTGTCGGCAGTAGAGGGGCTGAAGAGGATCTCAGTGATGGTGGGACGTGGGAGACCATCATCAAGTGTTCTGAGAAGGGAGTGTGGAGGGGGCTGGTATTGGCAGACCGCACCGCCCGCTGGTGCGTCTTTGCCGAGTGGGTATGTGTGGGATGATCATGCCGCGATTTACTGCGTCGTTTGTCTTTTGTTTGATTTGAAATGCGCGAAGGCAATGTCGAAAAAAAGGGAATTGAGCGGTTATGACTGGGTGGGTTCGGGGTATGCATATCTCGGCGTTTTCTTTTCTACCGGTTTTTCCTTATCTTCTTCTTTTTGTGTGTATTTGGGAACTGGGTATCGATCGGTTGGAGGTCTTCGTCACGGCTGTGGGAGTTTTTCTAATGTACGATACATAATGGGAATCATGCATGTCCAGGCTAGGATGGTTCTGTAACATAAAAAGTTTACGCGAAAATGCAGTCAATGAAGTAAATGATGTTCAATTTGGTTGTCCCAGGTCGTGATGTTTTGACCGTGTAAGTGAGGTGCGAAGTGAGCTCGGTGAGGTGATGAGGTAGGTGCTACATGAGGCACTGTGTTTGCCTGTATTCTTGGTACTCCGCACTGCCCCTTATCGATAACTACCTCACTGCATTGCGGTGCCTGGACGACCTCACCCTCCAAATGTAAACAGAGGGGCGACCTGCGCTTACACATTACGAGCCCCATACCTGCCGACTCAATATTCAATCCCCCTTTTTGAGAAGATTCAACATCCAACATCCTTGTCTTATTTTACGAATTGACATCCTTGAGTTGTAACAGCAGGAAGACGCTTACTATCCTGCATTGGCAACTACACGTGTTATAACTGAGAGGAAGTATCAGAAAAATCAAGGAAGGAGGATCGGAGATCAGCGACTCTTTATCGCCGTTACAGCATACTATTCCAACAAGAGACGGAAAAGCAGGCGAGGGAGAAAGATGGCAGACAGGACTTCGAGAGCCGTACCACCAGCACCGCCCGGCGCCCCGCGACGAGCGGTCCGACGGAATTTGTTCCAGGGACTTACGAGGCGAGCGACGGGGACTACGACGACGGGAACGACGGGGCAGCCCATGGCCTCTACTGTGGGCGCGGGATCTGTATCTGCCACTGCTGCTGCTGCGACGATGGGAGGAGTGGGACCAGGCGGGAGCTCTTCAACTGCTGCTGCTACTCACGGCAACGGTAACGGTCATGTCGGGGGCGGCGAGACGCTCCGCCTCGATGTCGATGTCCTCTCTGACGGCGGGCCGCCGTCCGTCATGGGACCCGCAGAGATTGTGGTGCGCGACGAGCACGGCGAGATTGAGCTCGGGGATCTGCCGACGCTGGTGTTTGACGAGGCTGATGAGGCTGCTGCGATGGATGATCGGGAGGAGAGCAAGAGTGAGACTTATTTTCTTCCCTCTTTTCCCCCCCTCCCCCCCCTTTTTTTTTCTGTTTTGTTTTGATTATTCACGGTTGTTGCTCTTGTTCTTGTTCAATTTTCTCTTTGTTTTCTAGTTCTTTGAAAGGGGTATTGATTTTGATATGTAATGCTAACTATGCTTTTATAGAAGAGCGGCAGCGGCTCGCAGAGGCTGTGAAGCAGCATCAAGTCAACCATACCGCCGTCCGTGAACAGCCCGAAGGTGAGTCCCCCCTTGCGAGATACTTCTGTGTCCAACTCTTCATTGGAGGAAAAAGGGTTTTCTAACCGGCTCCTGTACGAATCAGAGCTCCTCGAAGCCGTCAAAGCCAGTTTACGAGCCAAAGTCTCGGCTCTCGCCGACGACAATTGGATGTACGAGGCCGAGCCGGAGCTGCCCCGTGGCTTCTGAACACGATGCCCAGCGTTTCCCATCTGGATATCCTGGTCGTTACCTCGACGACACATGTTTTCAACGTCTGGTTCATTACGAAACGCGCTCTTACGCACGGTGGGCATCTACGCCGAATCGACGGAAAACATTTTCATCTAATCCAAGCCCTCAGCCGCGGGTGCCTCCACCCGTCTTGTTGCGGGACGTCTCTGCTGAGGGGCGCCACCACCACCGGCGCCACCAAACAGGCTGCCCATCATGTCCATGAGCGGATTGCTCTGCCTTGGGCGCGAGATGCCAAAGTACATTTCGGCAATAATCTCGAGCGCCTCGCTCCACGCGCTGACCTCGGAAATGTTGGACGAGTACTTTGCCAGGAGCTGCTTGTAGGCGTCCGGGGCGCCGCGCTGGATCGCCAGCAGGAGCAGGCCGAGGAAGTTGAGGAGGGGCAAACCGGGGAAGATGCGCAGGTCGGCGCTATTACTGCTGACGTCCTGGACGCCGAGGCCCTTGTTGTCATCGCTGAGGGAGGAGGCGAAGAGGCGGTAGCAGGTGTTTGCGGCGCGGACGTTGCCGACGAGGAGGTAGGGGAAGATGGCGCGGGCGGCGTAGAGTGGCGCCGTGTGCGAGTCGTCCTCCTTGTACCAGACGTATTCCATCTTTGCAAGCACCTCGGCCGAGTCCTTTGTTCCTAGCACCAGGTGTCGTTCCGCCTCGTAGGCGTCGTGTTCTTCGGCGTAGAGGGATCCGGCGACGTGGTGGAGGTCGGTATCGCCGGCAGGGTACTCGCCGAACTTTGATGACCATCTATAGCCCTAGTAGTTAGAAACAACTAATCGTATTTCTACCCCCCCGATGTACTGCCCCATGAGGAATAGATCCATGGTACTCACGCAATAATCTCCCCGATAAACTTCTTCCTCGTGGGCTCCTGGGCGGCAAACAGGCGCAGGAGGGTGAGCAGCTTGCCCTTGTTGGCGGCGTCGGGCTTGAGCTCGGCCTGCTTGAAGACGTCGACGAGCATGACGGCAAGGTCGCCGCCGCTGCCGCCCTGTTCGGCTTTCAGTAGGGACTGTGCGACATTGTAGAGAATATCGATGGCGGCTGGCCAGTTCGCGGCCTTGATGTAGCGGGCGGCGACGACGCGGGTCTGCTGCTGGGCCTCGTAGAACTGGCCCTCGCCGATGCGGGCCTGGAGCCGCGTGATGATCTTTTCAATCTTGTCTCCTTTGGCTGCCATGTTGGGTGGGTTATCGGGAATGCCGTCTAGGTGTCGACTTTCGGAAGGGAGTGGGGTGGTCGGAGGGTGAGTGAGGTGAGGGCGCTGGGTGAGATGTGACGATGTCGTTTTGTAGCTTGCGCGGTGGCTTTGGGAGTTGAGATGGTGGGGCTTTGTGGCAGGTCAGGTACCTCTTCCGAGCTGTGGAGAGAGCCCCTCATTTAGAGGGAGCTTCGGTTCCATTCTGTCATTCTTTCGGATAAAGTACGGGTAATGAGAGCTCTCCAGCCGGGGGGTGAGGTTCCCTGGTCAAAGCACCGACCACTACTTTGTTTACGTAGTCCAAATGTTGCCTTTCTTCATGATTCTCATCTTCACCAATCTCTCACTTACACTGAGAGAGCGATGGGCTCTCCTAGTCAACCTCACGATGATAAGAGTGCGATGGACCGACTTTGATATCTCTGTTTTCTCTGCTATGATCAATTGGAAGATGTAAGCCTCCTCCATAACTCGTTCTTCAACGCAGTGAACTCCGACTTTGTGCGGGATACCGCATCCCGGTTCTCGACCGCCCGCCGCAAGAGATACGACGTACAATCACCAAGAGAGCCCCAGCTCAAGCACTTGTAGACCTCTATAGGGGCATCACTTTCCGATCCCTTTGCATCAACCCCCTGGTCTGCAAGCTGGAGCAGACTGAAGCTGACTTCGTCGGCCATGCCCAGAAGCTGCCCATACTGAATCTTGATCAAGGCCTTCCCTTCCTTGGCGCGAGTTTGCTGAAGCTCGTTGGCCTTTATGACGCTGTCCTTATTGTGCGTTGCAAGGAACAACTCGATGTCCGGGAATGACTTCCCGCCCGGCACGCCATAGTCTCTGTAACCTTGTGATAATAGCTCCCGTGCAATAGAGTCATACGAGTCGTCGGTTGCTTGCTTGGTATCATTGATCATGTGCCTTGGCTCTGAGCTGATATAAGCTCCGCGCACCAGTTTGATACCGAGGAAAAAGTTGTCCTTGTGAGCTAGCGCCACGTGCTGAGCCAGGGTATCCGGTGTGCTCTTGAGATAGGCTTGGTAGGTGTTGAAGACGACGGCGCCTCTTTCTTTCGTGTTGAAGCGGCGCATGAGGTCTATTGCTACTGCGTCGATTCCGGGCTGTACTGAAATCTGTTCGGCGTCCATGAAGATGCGTGCTCCACGCTCCACTGCGCGAGAGCATACGTCTGCGAGAGCTGACTCCATCTGCGCTGGTAGGGGCTTCCTCGAAGTGAGCGCCTCTGAAACGGCGGCGCCGGCACCAGTCAGTCTGAGGAGAAAGTCAGCAAATCATGAGAATGCATATTGATGTGTTCGGGGGCGCCAACTTGAGAGCCAAGATATCTCCTTCACTGAGCATATCCGCCGTTTCCAAGACACCCTCACGCCAAGCGTCGATCCCAGCATCTGACTCGATTTCTGAAGCGGAATCCATCTCCTTCAACCCCCGACCGCTCTCTTCTTCTGTCGTGTTGTCGACCACAATCTCGCGAGCGTACGTGAGGATGGCTCCCCGAAACCCCATGCGCTTGATCTCCGCAATCGTCGACGTCACCTCGTGTCGGTTCTCGCCGGCGCAGAAGTGGTTGTACATGGTCTTCTTTAGTATAGCGTGCAATAAAGGATTCCTTTGCACGTCAAAGACCCAGGTTCGGTGCGAGTCGTTTAGGAATTTCAAAATAGCCAGAGACGGGCCCAGCAAGATCCGGTGGGAAGAAGTGGTCGCCACCAACAGGGACCGCAAGAGAATCTTCAAGGGCAGCTTGGAGTGTGGTGGCAATGTTTCTGGGTTCCCTGAAGTGGTGGATGCGTATCGCGACTGGAAACGTGTAAGAGACGCATTGTTGGCATAGTGAACAGCTGGATGTCGCCGGCTCAGAAGAGCTGCGAGCCGCTGGCTGTGAGGGTTCGACAGAGACATTGTTCGCTACTGGGGTCGCAACCGGCGAAATTTGGTTCACTCGATACTATGCGATAGAAATTGTAGGGCGAGCCTATTTGAATACCTGCGTTATCCTACATCTAGATGCGGCAACCCCTCATGATACCGTCGGACGGACATGTGTACCGTAGCCGATTTCGGGCACTGTGCCACCGGCAATGCGACATATTCCAATCGCTTTCCAGTGCAGCCTTCGGCAAGCGTAACGCGCTGTGGGATAATATCTCTCTATTAACAACAATCAGAAGAATAACTGAGTTTGAGGGATTGGTACGCAACGGTTAAGGTCAAGGTCATTTCCTGACTGAACAGTCCATCTAGAGTGCGGGATGATAATATAGCCAACGTTTCGAAGGGCAGCGGACTTATACAAAAGTCTGGAGGCAGTGAATAATTTCTCAAGCCATGAAAGAAAAAGAACACATGAAACTTATTTAAGGCCTGATTTTATGAGATTTGATCTACTGTATATCTATCACATGGATCGACTCTATATCATGGAGTTTCAACTGAGAGCCCCTCTTACAAGCTCAGCCCTGCAAGTGTGTGTTAGCCAGTGCCAAAGCGTGTATAGGAATGGCAGTAACGGAATGATGAACTGGTCAAGAACACTTACGTTGCAAAAGTCCCAGCAGACACAGGCATCGCCCTCAGCAACGCTGGAACAAGTCCTCGAAATAGTCCTCGAAACCGACCCTCTCTCCAAGTCTGGCGGAAAGCGTCACGCATAGTCAAGTACTTCTGGCCTCTCCCAAACCCGTCGCTCTGCATCTTACTCTTGATCACGTCGAGCGGATGACTCCCCAGCCACAGCGCCTCGCCCGCAAGACCTCCACAGACGGCAATCTTCCAGCTAGCTAGTTCTCTTCTGTCCTTGACGCCTTCCCACGCCATCGCCATACTGAGAAATCCCTCATACGCGGCGAACCAGATGCCGTACCCGTGGAACTCTCTGAAAAGAGTGACGACCTGCCCACGATACAGGCCCTTGATACCGGAGTGCTGCGTGATCTTGCGCACGCAGTCCCAGGGCCCAGAGTATAGACGGGCTGCGCCGTTTGGCTGAGTCTGGAGCCTGATTCGGACATGTTCGATTGGTCCGGATATGATGCTGTTGGTCAGGCCCGCGGCTCCTCCCACGAGGTAGAAGTCAGATAGGGAGAGTGATTTGCTGCTCGTTTTAGCGTCGGCTGGGTAGATTTCGCGATACTCTTCGAGTCGCCGGCGGAAGAGTTGAAAGGCGCCGAATTGTATGCTGACCTATTCAATGTTTGATATGGTCAGGCTGAAGCACGTTCCCTGAATGCGGGTTATACAACTTACACAAGCACCTACACCTAGCAACGGAGCTAGAGTACCCTGGATTTAAGTGTCAACTACCGATTTCATAGACTATAATTAGTCAAAGCTGACCTTGTAAAAAGCCAAAGGCCCTTCTTTAGTCCAGATGTTGCGGACTAGACCTAGGGCATTTCCTCCTCCGCCTTGGGTTTGAAGGCGCACTTTTACGAGGTCTGAGAGTCTTTGGTAAGTAACTGAACTTATCCCACAGCCTCATGGCGTTTCAAGAGGCTTTTGACGGGTAGAAGTGCAGAGGGGTCGGTTTACCGAAAGGTTGGCCTATGCAAGACAGTGTAAGCCAAGTCCATTCCTACAAGATGCAAGACTCATTACGGCAAGTTACATACCTATTAGAACTTGCGCTATACCTCCTGCAGCTCCCGAGGTTATATCCTTGAATGAATCCAGGGCCGTAGTCCCCATTGTAGCGATTGGAGATCCGGTTGTTGAATTAACGAAAGGGGCTGGACAGCAGAAACTCGGTGGCTTTGACAAGCCAAGTAAGACTGGTATGCACGGCGCAAGCAAATTGTAAATCAATATCAGTCAAAGACTTCTGGACATGGAACTCCCCCGCTGGTGACATGCATTAGGATAAGAAGAGGCGGTGGGGGCCATTCCGGTCAACGGATCGGCTACCGACACTATCGCTTGGTCAAATTGCCGACCTCACGGCAATGTGCCACAAGTGTCGGCAACGGTATCGCGATGCCGGAGCTCTGCATTGCGGCTCCCAAGACATATAAATGTAATCTTCATAGTCGATTTTCGTATTGCCTTCATTTGAACGTTAGAATTTACCTACAACCAATTCCGAAACTACTGGCGCATCAAAATGTCTGTCTCTTTAGTACGAGGTCTCACGACCCCTTTTCAAAAGGCAGGCCGGCTCACAGCGCCATCCTCTCGCTTCGGAGTCAACTCTTGGCCACTCGAAAGAAGCATCAGGGGGTTTGGCACTTTCAAGGCACCTCCAGTCCGCAACGAGCTAAATGTAAGTATTCCGCAGTGAAGCATAACTCACGATAGGTTAAAGCATCAGCTGACAAAACGACCCTAAGCCATCATATAGCAAGGGCTCAGTCGAGCGTCAGAAGCTCCAACATGCGATCTCACGACTGAAGAGTAACCTTCCCGTGCGAGTACCATCCCTGGCACCTGAAATCGTGAGTGGCATCTTCGCCCATAAGTCGCAGCCTTTCGGCTCTTGGACTTACATACTCTGTCACTTCCAAAGACAAACGCAAAGTCAGTGCTAGCCAAGCAATACCTACCAAGCGACCACTCCGTCGCGTTGGCCGAATACGCCCAGACGAGCCCCGAGCAGGTGTCAATAGCCATTGACAGGGCGTTGGAAGCCAAACCCGCGTGGGAGAACACGTCTTTCAAGGATAGGGCTGCCGTCTTTCTTAGGGCGGCGGAGCTCATTGCGGGAAAGTATCGCTACGACATTATGGCTGCGACGATGCTCGGGCAGGGGAAGAATATTTGGCAGGCTGAAATTGACTCGGCAGCGGAGAGTTGTGATTTCTTGCGGTACGTTTACGAGAAGCAGATTCGATACTTCGTGCAATCCAGAAAAGCTTTCGCTGACCATTGATGGGATGCGGTAGTTTCAATGTGCATTACGCAGCTCAGCTGTATGACCAACAGCACGCGTTGACTGATGCCGGTTTCATGAAGTAAGTGTCCCCTTCTTCTTGTTTAAATGACCTAGGGGAGAGAAAAGTTCGTTACATCGTACACGAACTAACGGCATCTACCAGTCGAACAGAATACCGACCGCTAGAGGGCTTCGTCTACGCCATCAGCCCCTTCAACTTTACCGCCATCGGCGCCAACCTGACCGTCGCACCCGCCATCATGGGCAACGTCGTCCTCTGGAAACCCTCCGACTACGCAATCTACTCGAGCTACCTCCTCCAAAAGGTCTTTGAAGAGGCCGGCCTGCCCGCCGGCGTGATCCAGTTTCTCCCCGGCGAGCCCGAAGCAATCACCTCGGCCGTCCTCGACCACCCCCAGTTCGCAGCGCTCCACTTCACCGGATCCACGGACGTCTTCCGCCAGCTGTACGGCAAGATCGGCGAGGGCGTCGCCTCGGGACGGTACGAGAGCTACCCGCGCATGATCGGCGAGACGGGCGGCAAGAACTTCCACCTGGTGCACGGCAGCGCCGATGTGCGGAACGCGGTGGTGAATACTGTTCGGGGCGCCTTTGAGTATCAGGGGCAAAAGTGCTCTGCGACGTCGCGTCTCTACGTAGCCGAGTCCATCTGGCCAGAGTTCAAGGAGATGCTTTTGCGGGAAACGAAGAACCTGAAAGTCGGCTCCCCCGAGCAGGTCGACAACTTCATCGGACCCGTCATCCACGAGCGCTCGTGGACAAAACTCCGCGAAGTAATCGAGGACTCCAAAAAGGACCCCGCAGTCGAGTTGCTGGCCGGCGGTCACACAGACAACAGCCAGGGCTGGTTCGTCTCGCCCACCATCTTCCAGACCAACAAAGCCCACCACAAGCTCATGAGGAACGAGCTCTTCGGCCCCATCCTCGCCGTCCACGTCTACCCGGACGCGAAGTACGAGGAGATTCTCCCTATCATCGACTCTACGACGCAGTACGGGCTGACGGGCGCCGTCTTTGCCCGCGACCGGAGCGCCATTGAGGCGGCGGAAAAGGGGCTGCGCCACGCGGCTGGCAACTTCTACGTCAACAGCAAGAGCAGCGGTGCCGTTGTTGGGCACCAGCCTTTCGGAGGTGGTCGTGCGAGCGGTACCAATGACAAGGCCACCAGCGTAAATCTTTTGACACGCTTTACCAGCATGAGGAGTATGAAGGAGGACCTTGTCGGCGCAGACACTGTGTTGTACCCTTCGAATGAAGCTTGATTCAGGCTTTTTCTGGCGTCTGTAAGATTGGCCGGTAGATTCTGGCTAGATCTTCTTCTGGCTGCTTTTGGAGCTGTTGCTGTACCTTATTTAGATGTCAAATGTAAAATCCAACATGTCCATACCAGTGAGACCCATCAGTTGCATGTGATTCTCGGCAAAAGTGGCCGGAGGGAAGTCAGCATCCAGACCTAGATCGAACGGTGCCTCTTCTGGTAACTCAGGCGCAGACGTTGGCAGTGCAACATCTTCAACCACGAGTGCTTGGTTGGGTGTAGATGGGTTTCGAAGCTGGAGCAATGCAGCAGCTTCCTCCCACATTGGCGATGCGCCAAAAGCAGCTTGTGCAGCTTCTGAATGAGCACGCGACCGTTGTTTGGTTGCATTGGATCGATTTCTTTCAGTTCCAGATGTGTCTGTGTTCCTGTTCAGCCAGTCTGCCCAGAGAAGGTACTCAGAAGCCTCTTGGTTGACATCCCCATCGAATTGTGTCGAACCGAACGGCCTGACCTTGGCCCGTGCCTCCTCGGCGATGGAGATGAGTGCCTCTACAAATCGTACTGCCATTCGACCAGCCATGTGCAAGTCAGCCATCCTTCTGAGACAGCGCAGACCGAAGGCGACTCGGGCATCGTAGGCCGAGTCTCGCTCCAGAATGCCGGTAAGGATCACGATGATTGTGGCGATACTGCAACCCTGAAAGTCCGTAAAGGATCTTGGGGCCATGTTTCCAGATTGACTAGCGTCTTCGAGTATGTTCAACATCTTCTTTGCCGCGATGCCACATGATCTGAATTGCCGCGTAATATCATCATCTTCCGTCGTTCGAGGCTCCGGTAAGCCTGATGCAGCTGACCGTAAATGGCTCCGAATCTTTGTAACGACAGAAGTTTTACCTATCGCAATCCAAGCAAAGTAGTAGTTCAGGTAGAGGTGGAATACGGCGCGATAGTATGGCGAGCGAGGTTCCACGTTTGGGAGACGTAAGTTGGGAGGCAGAGATCGTTTCCAGGTTTTTAGTGAAACCTCAAAGTCTTGCAGAGGGGGTTGAGAATTGCTTGACCACGTACTGGACCATTTCGAGTCAGTGGGAAAAATCAATAGCATGCATCAAGAGATAACTCACGCCGGCTCAATGAGAGTGTCAATGATTTTGACAAATTGCGCGTTGGCTACTTGGTGATCCAAGTTATCGAAGCTTTGCAGGGCATCAGTTGCTCGGCGCTGAGGCAGATGAGCTGTTATGACATCCTGAGATATCGATCTCGGTCGATTGAGCTTGATTGTTAGAGTTCTACGCAGAGGATATCAGTCCGGGTTCACCGTGATGGAACTGAGTGCTGGCAAGTCAACTAACCTTTCGAGAGAAAATATAGCCCACCATAACCTTCGTCTCATTTCTCTCTCATGGCTGTCGGTGTCCGGGTCTTCTGATTCATGATGCAGTCCAAGAGCGATGGCTTTCCTCAAGGCAAGACCCATATACAGGTATGAGGCCCCTACCGCACTCGACGGCATGAGGTATATCCCAAGGACGAACGCCGCTTTGACAGAGGACATACTCACTCTATCCATGGTGTCTGCCATCAAGATCCGGGCATGACCGCAAAATATCTGTCCAGGGTCTTCCGCAGGAATTTGAAGAGACCCAGACAGAGCGGATGGTCGGGCTCGCGGACTCCAGTGAGCTCCCAGAGCAAGAACTGACAGCAAAAGACATAGGAAGCTGGGATCCCGACGAAGAGGTGAGCTCAAGTCGTTGTAAAACTCCTCCACCTCAGCCAAGAAAGAAGGTTGATCAAAGTAGAAGAAGCAGTCGGTTCCATGTTGAATACAGAGCTTGCTCAGAAAGATGGCTACAGATCTGGGTGGGAGGCTTTCAGTGGCCGCCTGCAAGCGGATTGCTTCCGCAGACTGGTGAGAGGCAGTGGCTCGCGACGAGCGAGCTTCAAGTCTAGCAATTTCTCTCTCGGCGGGTGATGAATTTGGCTCGAGATAGAATGCGTTTCTAAGTCTGGATAGAAATCGTGGCCACATGAAGTTCTCGGGAGCGTCACTGTCGGAGCAGAGATCCCGACGTGATGACTGTGTGGTGTCCGGGACATCAGCAAGGGGATCGGGGCTCGGGCTGGGACCCAGCTCTGCCAATGATTCGTCGTAGTCTCTTATAGGCGACTGTAGAACTCCTGGGGATATGCTCAACCGCTGCGTGTTGAAGCTGCAATTGTGTGACCCCTGAAGACATCGTTGGCATATACCCGACGTCGTCTCAATGCATTTGCTTTTACGGGCCTTGCAACGCGTACAGGCCCGAGGTGCCCGCTTTCGATCCTCGTCTGCGATTCTACGGCGACGGCTCCTGCGGGATGAAGGGACCGGAGTCATCCCGGTGGCCGTACCCAGTTCTTGTTTGAAGCCACAAGATAAGGGTGTGTGGGTGAAGAGTTGGCAAGGAGCCGCAAGATGGACATATTGCCGACGGTGCGCACGGGCCATTACATGGGCGCCGGGCCGATGTATGAAAGTCATTCCTCTCTCTCAACTACCTACCTTACCTTACTTGCAAGAGTCACTTTGGAGGTTTTACTTGGGGGAAAGTGAGCAATTTATCTTGCTGAGTATTTGGAATGAAATCGTATTGAATCATGTAGTCTTAATTCCCGATGTAGCTGCCTGACCTTGAAGCTCTCTGAGGTTACTCGGCTCATGTGAAAGCCGGTATACCCGTGATAGCTTCAATTAGGTAACCCCGATGCTGTTTGTAAGGCGTTTCCATGCGGTGACACTACCACCTATCATTTTGGGAAGACATTGTTGAATGTGCCATCAATCTACCTAATTGCGAAAGTGGAACTCAGTCACCCATCCACACACCTACCCATCAAGGTAACGCTTACCTTCTCTCCTCTCACAATCAACTCACCAAGGCAGAACTGTGTGCAACGTGAAGCCATAATACCCTGGCATAAATGTTGAATTAAATCATGGCTCCCTAAATATTCCCAATATGCTCTATTTCCATTTCCCAATTCCGTTCCCTCCCTTTTTTTGGTTCATGTATATTCTTACATGGTATCATTATATTGACGGTGTTGAATGGACCCTCATCTGAATCATCCTAGTTTAAGCCTGGGCAAAGGACTCGATGAACTTGGCCAGCTTTTGGGCACCCTCGAGAGGGATAGAGTTGTAGTTGCTGGCACGAATACCGCCGACGCTGCGGTGGCCCTTGAGGCCGGTGAGGCCCTGGGCAGTAGACTCCTTGAGGAAGGCCTTCTCCGCGGCGTCAGTGTCACCGCCCTTGGTGACGCGGAAGCAGATGTTCATGCGCGAGCGGACGCTCTTGTCGGGGACGATGCGGTAGATGTCGGGGTGAGCCTCGAGGGCGGAGTAGATGAGAGAGGCCTTCTCATCAGCGATGGCCTCCTGGCCGTCGACCTTGTTTTGGAAAGTGCGGAGAAGCTTCTTGAGGACCTGGCCGGCGATATAGACACTGTAGAGTGGTGATTAGTTAAGTGGATAGAAAATGTGGATAGATATAGAGGAATGACTCACTCAAAGATGCTCAATGTGTTGTACAAGCTGTTATTCTTGGCAATGGTCTCGTAGGAGAGAACAATGGGGGCGATAGGGAGACCAAGCTTGCGCATAAGCGCAGGAGAGGGCTGTGCGGCAAGAAGGCTCTTCTTGATGACAACGACAGTGATACCAGTCGAGCCAAGGTTCTTCTGCGCACCAAAGAAGATGGCACTGAAGTTCTTGACGGGGATGCGCCTTGAGAGGATGTTGGACGACATGTCCGCCACGACAATGGGGCCCTCGCCATTCTCCTTGGGCGCCAGCGCACTAGGGAAGCCGTTGAACTCGACACCGTCGACCGTCTCGTTGTCGCAGTAGTAGACCATGGCGGCGTCCTTGCTGAGCTTCCAGTCCTTCTCGTCGGGGATCTTGCCAAACTTGCCATCGTTGATCTTGCGGGCGTCGGCAGCGACGTTGACGAACTCTGGGCCGAGAAGCCTCGCAGCCTCGGCGCTGGCCTTTTGACTCCAGCCTCCGGTGACGAGGTAGTCAAGCTTGAGCTTCTCGTCGACAACCTTGCGGAGCTCGGCGACGACCTTTTCGTCATTCTCATCGGTGGCACCGAGGTTGGCCAGGACAGCGTCGCGCTGGCGGGCGATCCAGGCGCCGACAAAGTTGTAGACGGTGGCGGAGAACTCGCCGCTACCACCGGCCTGCATGAATAGGACCTCGTAGTCGGAGGGGATGTCGAGGTAGGTGGCCAGGTCGGCCTTGGCCTCTTCAATGATCTTGGTGGCGATCTCGCTGCGGTGAGAGTGCTCTGCAATGCCCAGACCGGTGCCGTTGAAGTCGAGGAGGGCTTGCGAGGCCGTTTCGAGGACGTCGGTGGGCAGCAGCGCGGGGCCGGCGCCGAAGTAGGTGATGTCGGCGCGGGAGGGCATGATGGGCGGAGCGGTTTCTTCGGGCGGGTTCAATTGGAATTGGGTGAATTGGGTTTGGGCGAGATTCGAACAAATGACAGACACAGGAAGGGTTCTTGGCGGAGAATCGAATGGTAGATCAATTAGATTTATGTAGGGCTGAGACTTGTTCTAATGAGTCACGGAAGACGGAGTTGCGGTGGTGCCAGAAAAAAAAGTTGCTATTCCAGACGAGTAACCCCGCCAAAATGCGGGAGACACCGGTGTCGGAAACAACGACAGCGAAAAAATGACGTGAGTGGATGGAGGGGTCGTTCCCCGGATTCTAGCGTGGGGATGCCGCTGGAATTGCATCTTGCTGGCCCGTCACCCGTGGCCCGTGGTGGGGCCTGGGCTTCTACATATGTATTGCTCGCTTCGGCCACTGCATTTGACTAGGTAGGTACCATCCTTAGGTACTAAGCCCCTAACGTAAGGCAAGGTAGTGACAAAGCACTGGATTAGTGGACAGTGAGTGGTAGCTGCACCTCATGAGCAAGGTGGGCGGGGTCACCAGGTAAGGTAAGCTTGGGGGGCCTTGGGGGCCTTTCCTTCCCTCGTCACGGAGGCTACCCTCACCCATGCCCCTCGCCTCGACAGGGGTGTGAGATAGAGATTGGGCTGGAACGGCTGTCATCCACTGCCACTGCCGTGCCGTGTTTCTCTCAACCCCATCACCAAACTGATCAACTACCACGATTGCCACGCCCCCCTTCCCCTCGATCGACGCCCTCTGCAGACTACACCCAGGGAATGCGACCTTAATGGCACGTCTAGCCGTTCCCGAACGTGCCCCCTTGTGATTGAGATCGCCGTATCAGCCTCTTCGTCGGGAAGCTGTTAATAAGATAATGTATTAATATCCCTCCCCCTTCTCGTCTTTGATGCAGGTCTCCCACTCTCTCAAGATTGACCTACATAAAACCCCCCCCACGTATCCACCGCTTTTGATATCCCGTACATCACGTACATACACCTGCAGCTTCTTCATTTGTCTTTCTGTACATTGTGTAGTAGTATCGCGTTTGTCTTCGTGTGCTGATTTGCGTACTCAAGGGACGAGGATTTGTCAGAAGTGCCGCCGGGCATGGCGGACCGCAAGGGGGCGGACGCCGCGAAGCATTCCCATTCCATTCCCGCGGCGTCTTTCCGTGAGTATCTCACCTCACTTCACTAGCAAGCACGGCTTTCCTTGGCAGCGCATCTCTTGGCTAATGCGCCCCCTCCTCAGCTACGCACAACTCGCCGAGGACCTGGTTCTTGACGACGGCCCTCTCGCCGCTCATCATCAGGCTCATCAGACTGCTCCTGGGCCACGGAGACTATGTCGTCGCCTGTCTGCCGCCGAGCGAGATTGAGGACGACGGCCGCAGCGCCGAGTTCAGAGAGTTGATCAATGAGTGTAAGAGCAACCGTAAGGACCGCGAAGGGTGGAAGGACAGGATACGTGGTATCCGCTGCGATGGCCGCGTCATGGGCCAGTGCGGCGCCGCCGTGGCCGAGGCCGTTCAGGTGTTTGGGAGGATCGACATCCTCCTCTGTTGCAAATCTGAAGGTATCTAATGACGAGCCCCCGTTGAATGACAATGATACAATGCTGACAACCCCTTAAACAGCCGTCGTGGGGAGCGTGGAGGAGTTATCCACGAATCCTCTGACACAGAACCTAGTCCGCGACCAGTTTGAGACAATCTTCTTCTCACAGGTCAATTTCATCAAGGCCGCCCTACCACTGCTACGCTCACAGCACACGGGACACATCATTATCCTCTCTAGTACGGGCGGCCACATCGGCACACCGGGGATGCCCATCTACACATCGGCCATCTGGGCCCTCGAAGGCTTCTGCGATTCCCTAGCCTACGAAATTGCTCCCTTCAACATCAAAGTCACCATCGTGCAGCCCAACAAGGAGATCCAATCTCTCACCAACAAGATCATCTTCGCACCCCAGCTGCCGTGGTATGACGCCGAGGTCAACCCTGCGCCCAGCGTCCGCGACATGCTCGGCAACGTCCTCAACATGAACCCGGACACCGCCGTGCCCGACCTCAACGAGACCGATGAGGTCCAGGTGCGGTACCCGAAGCTGCCGCCCAGCGCCACCGATCGCCTCGTCTTGGAGACGGTGCACGCCCTGACGGCCATTGGCGGGCACGAGAACCCGCCGGCGAGACACATTGTCGGGTTCGAAGGCGCTACCGCGGTCAAGGAGAAGCTCAAGACGGTGACGGAGGAGCTCGAGGACTTTGTGGACGCGAGTCTGGCTGTTGACATATTCGATAGCGAGCTCAAGGCCGAGGCCAAGGAGGGAAAGACGAGGGAGTCTACGCCGCCTGCGCCCGCGTCAACCGCGTCAGGTTGAGCTGGAGCAAGTTGATATGAGGCAAGCAGATCTGCACGGGCTCTGCTGTTGTAAATGTCTTTTTCGTTCTCGATCATCTATAGGTATCTGGGAAAATCTATACAAGCGTGAAGCATACCTAGTGCTGTCCGATCATGACGGGGTCGTGCTTGGCATGCTGTTCCATCGAGCCGATCCATCCTCTTGAAATGACCATTACCCCCATTAACCAATTCCTAATACGCTCTCGGGCAGTTGACTCATCTTCCAGGACTGAGAGGCCGATTGAACCCGCCCTGCCGATTCATATACTGCCGATACTCCGTCTTCTTCTCCTTTCTCACAGTCCCGACGTTATTTCCCGCAATCTTCTGGCCCTTTGTCGACCCGAAGCCGCCAAAGCCGAGCATCGCCTGCATAGCCGCCATATCGTCGTCCTCCACCTCGGGCTCAGGTTCGTCATCCTCCTCGCTTCGATCGTCTCGGCCGCGTCCGCCGCCACCGCCGCCACCACTCATCGGTGTATCTCCACCACGCTCACTATCTCTCCCGCTGTCAAAGTGCGGCGAGTCGTGTCGTCCGACCTTGAAGGACATGGTATGCTGCTGCTCCTTCTTCCCCCTCTGAACCGTGCGCGTGGGTAGGGACTCGGTGTATCCGCCGCCGCCGCCGTGCTCGCGGCGGGGGGCACCAGGCTGCGGCGGGCTGCCGCTTCGGTGTGGGGAGGCGGATCGTCTACGGTCTCTGTTGTCGCGTGGTGTACCTTTTTTCACAAAAACGTCAGCCAGTCTCTCTCTGTTGCGCCGACCAAATAAAAGCCAAACAGCAAGTAACCAGGGGCAAAAAGCTTACTGCGTCCCTCGTCATCGTCTCCAAACTGCCGCCTCGGAGGCCGCTCGTCCATTGCCGGTTCATCATCGTCCCTGCGCCGCCTGATGCTGTCTCTATCATCTCGCCCTTGCCAACTACCGCGGTCTCTGCGCGGCGGCCTCGCGCCTCCGTCACGATCGTCGCCGCGTCCGGGGCGGTGGCCGCCGCTCTCGCGGTCTCTGGATCTTGGTCGGTGATCTCTGTCGCGGCGGTCGCGGGATCGGGAGCGGTATCGCCTGGAGGCGCCGTCGTCTCTCCTGTCGCGGTCGTCTCGTCTGCCGCCGCCGTCGCGGTCTCTGTAGCTTTCGCGGTCTCGGTCTCGGTCTCGTGGGCCGCCTCCTCCGCCGCCGCCGTGGCGACTGCGACGGTCAGGCTCGTCCCAGGTTGGTCTGTTATCGTGTCCGCGACCCATCTCTATGTATGCGTTCTTGAGAAATTGGACCGGGATGGGGGTGAAACAAACACTTGGTGGTGTGGAATTCTTATTTAGACTTGAAATAACGTCACTATGAGGCTGAGGAAATTTTGGGCATGGCAATCTTCTAACGGGTTGATGTTCGGCAGGCACCTAAAAGGGTTGCTTAATTGGGCAGAGTTTAAGCTTTCCGCCCCCCGAAATTTAGCGCGGGAGCCTTGCAGGAGCCCAGTGGTCGGACAACGCTGGGCAAAGCTCCACTGAGCTTTACTGGAAAGCTCTAGCGGGTTCACTGGGTGCAACACCACGACATGTTAAGGTAATCTTGAGACATCACGATGTAACTTCACGTAGATCGACTGCTGTCGTCCACCGGGGTGATGCATCTTTTCGAAGCAGACAAGAAGGAAGCATAATCAGCGCAAAACAAGAACATTTGACGTCTTCTCCACTGCCCTGGACAAGCCAGAGCAAGCAATGAAATAGCCAAGCCTTTTGCGTCGCCTGGAGGCAGTGTGATACCAGGGACACGGTGGGAAGCAGTGATATGGCAAGCCAAAGGGACCGCTCCCCGAGAAGATCAAAAATAGGAATAATATTGATTGTCCCCCATTGGGAGACTTTCAGATATTAAACTGAAAAGAACAGATACTACACTTGATCTAAGCCAAAATGGCAAAGAAGAGCTAAGGAGAAAAGAAGGAAAAGGTGAAAAGTCGTGGGTGGGAGGAGGGGTTGTTATAGATTTTGGGCATGGCCTGTGCGACGGCCCCCGATCAGTAAAAATACGTACTGGAGATACCTTCCATGGTGAGTGCTGAATTATTTAATGGGCAGGATCGAATTTCTTGATTGGTGAGTTCGATCATCGGGTGGTTGATGCCTGGTGATGGGAGGCAGCCGCGGGACGCTGCTTCCTTCCGTTTGACGTTTTGGCCTCAGTAGGGAGGGCAGGTGAACCACTACCTCAGGTTGGCCTCAGTTGCCTGCCTGCCCTAGCAACGGCCTCAATCTGTGATGATGCCTGGCTAAGGTAAGGTAGCTTACATTCACCTCCCCAAAGTTCATGCGTAACCAGCCGCGCTTCATGTTCATTCTTCAGGTGCCTCAGGAATATGTCACCTTCATGTTGCGTTTGGCAGAGGAAACATCATAATCGTAAGAGCGTGTGTTGCCTCTGCGGCAAGGCCGCCTAAATCTCATCCTCCTCGTCATCAAAGTCATCCTCCCTACCCATCTCATACAGGATCCTGCCACCCTCGCCAGCCCCTATGTCCGTTTGGGCGTCAAAGTAAGGAAGAACAATACCCTCCCTGTCCCTACGCTGCTTCTCTGTGAGACCCAGGTTGAACGTGCTCTCCGGCTCCTCATCCTCTCCGCGACCTGCTTCTGCCTCTCCGGAACCCTCAGGGGCAGCGAAAACGGGGTGCTCCGAGAGGAGGAAGATTCTCGACCCCTTTGCAGCAGCAGTAGAAGCGGCGGAGGAAGAAACCTGCTGTAACTTCTGTGGCAAGATACCAAACTTCTCCGCCATGGCCCGCCCGCTACGCCGCCTGACCTCCATCTCGACCACGACGCCGTGATAATCCTCAGACTTGACGTCGCCCTTGAGCCCGACGAGGACGCCCTCCCGCCCTTCCCCCAGCCCCCACTCGGGCTCCTGCAAACTCCTGTTCCGCGCCTTTTGGCGCTCAATCTCCTGTCTTAGGCCCGAGAGCCTCAGGATCGAGGTCGCCAAGTGAGAGAGCACCGTCAGTGGGTGCGGCTCGTATTCACTCACAGCGCGCGGGAGGACGAGGGGCACGTCGGTGTGGTAGACGGCCACCAGCGACACGGCGGGCACGATGATGCTGGAGAGGAAGCTAGGCAGGACCTGTGACGCAGCTGTGGCGAGCTCGTTGAGGGAGTCGAGCAGGACTACCGTTTCTGGTCACGAGAAGATGTGTGAGTCAGAGGGTGGATATGTGATGGTGAGGCTATGAAGAGGACGTCACAGGATGGGGGGGGGGGGTGCGACAGCACTCACTTTGAGACGGAGATGCACCCTTGACTGCCGTAGGGTCCATCTTGGGATAATGTGAAAGAATCTCTGCTCTCAGGGCCTTGAGGTTTTTGCCGCGGGCTCTGACGACGACGTCCACGCCTCGTGGGCGTTTGAGCGTCGCGAAAGACAGCAGAATTACCTTGGCTTTTGCAACCTATATATTTCGTCAATACCAGATATTTGAACCATGACACCGAAACTAATAATTGTGTCTTTGGGGATAGGAATCATATTGTCTATCTACAGAGTCATGAAAATCAGTAGCGCATACCTTGGCTCTGGAGACGAACTCCCGAAGGACTGGCGCGGCGCCTTGCTCGAGACTGTCCAGCACCAAGGTCAAAGGGCTCGCGCCATCCCTCAGGTTTAGCAGCTTCTGGAACAGTAAGAGGCTATGTGACCGACTGTGGTTTTCCGCCGAGGGGGCCATCGTGGCAGGTCTTGGAAGGAATCTTCCTGCTATATTGTGGAAGAGGGAATTTGCTGCGCAATTTCTAAGGTACAGCCTGGCACCGCGAATCTTCTCGCCGTTGATGTTTTTCCAGACTTAAACCTGTAAGACTGTGATATGTATGACTTGCACTAAGAAAAGCCTTCTCGCATGAGATAGGTAGTAAGATGATTGAGAGTAAAGATTGTCAAGGTGCGATTTCTGTGATGGACGCTTTTCGCCCACTCAATTTGGGGTTTGTCGGTGATGTGGGGCACTGACCGAGACTACCACCATCGGGCGTCAACACCAGGACCGTTTCACCGAAGCCGACATCGAATCTTCCGTTATGATCATGCGCCTTTTCACGGAGACGGGTTTGAAGTGGCTTGAATCATACTGCTAGATTCCATAGCTATCAGGCCCTACTCAAGAAAGCCCGCCTCCAGCCGACAATCCAGAAGATTTCGTGTCGCCCAACAAATAGGTATCTCCGAGATGCCCAGATTCCATTCCCTTTCATGAATCATGATTCGTGATGCTGCATACAGACAAATGCGTTTGTATGTATCTCCCATCGGCAGCTCTCAGCATTGATGCTCCGGCACCTTCACACCCTCTTGAGCCTCGCCAGCACGATAATGCTTCCCTCGGATGAGCTTCTGTTAGTTTCCTTCTGTGAATACCTGCTTCTTTCCCTTCCGCTTCTCTGTCTGTTTGCTCGAGTTTTGGTGATTGGCCATTGGGGATGAATCGTCAGGAGAAACGCTTCCAAGTGGCACCTCCGAGGATTCTGGCACCTGCTCTTCGAGGGAGATCTCGGTAGCAGCTGTGCCAATCTTTGCTGATGAGATGTCTTCAGGAAGAGGAGACCCAAGTGCGACGCCCGGTGCTTCTCTCGCATCGTTATCCTTTGCCGTATTAGCGTCACCCGTCGTGTCCGCAGCCTTCGTGTCCGTCACTTGTTTGATGGCTTCTGCTTCCACCTGGACCTTGTCGATAGCATCTCCCCTTGTCTGGTCGGTGTTTTCCTCCGTCTGCTCGACATGAGCCTTTCCAGCTTCCGCAGGCGCAGCGGGGCCTGGTGCATCGCCACTTCTGTTTGGCTTAAAGCCCTCTGGCACCTTGCACGACCACTCATCCTCAAACTTTTGCGTGACATAGTCGTCAAAGTCGCCCGCCCGCCGCCGCTCGCGCGCAACCCACGCCTGCTCGAGCCACTCAGGGTCGTGCCTGCCCTGGGAGATGTTGTCGGCGTACGTGGCACAGTCGTGGCGAAAGTTGTTGTTATTGCGAAGTGCGTCAAAATCCGGGCGGGCTTCGTCGGTGCCGGCGTCGATGATATGCGTGCCGGCTGGGAAGAGGCTGACGATCTCGGCACGCTCCTCCTTCGTAAGTATGTCCCATGCCGCTGGCTGGCAGAGTATCGCCTAGAGAGGGTCGCGGTAAGTTAGCGTACCAGAATCGAGACAAGAATTTCTGGGATGACATAAAATCATCCCTTCTAAGCTGCGACGGTTCACTTACTCTCAGATCCGCGCTGGCAAGCGGCGACTTGGGATCCGTCAAGAGCTTCTGCGTTGTCCATTTTGGGCCCTTCTTGGGTACCACTTTGGTAGGCTGTTTTCTCTTGGCGACTTTTGGCGGGGAAGCAGTCGCGGGCTTGGGCTTACTCGAGTTGCGCGCCGAACGTCGAGCCATGTTGGGCAGATCTGTGCCGGGAAGTTGTGTATTGATAGCTTCTGATTCCGGGTCTTCCCGCGCATTGGGAGAGCCGACAGTCTCTTTGACAATCTCTTTGGAAGAATCTTTCTCAGCTTTTTGGGAAAGTCCCTCGTAGTCTGAGCTGTAGGTGGGCGGAGGGGAGAGGCCAGAGGATGAGGATGAGGACGAGGATGGAGCGCAGGCGTCTGCCATCTCTATATCGGATGCGACCCCTCCCATTTTGAGTGAGTGGCAGGGTGGATGGAGGATGTTTGCCGGTTCACGTTTACGATGTCCATAGAAAGATTCCTGAACTGGGCATTAGCCAAAAGGAATTCAAAGAACTGTGCTATTAAAAGTCCTGGTGAAAGAATCATGTCGTTTCTGGAAGGCACGGTCGCAGTTTTGATAACATGGAAAAGACCTCCTTTGCTGATTGTTCCTTCCCACAAAGCGGTTTCCGGACACGAGATAATAAGGTAGTAAACACATGTTGAGAACTTACAAACGACACTCTAACATCAATAACAAAGATGAGACTACGGCGCCCTAAACAGTTTAAAAAAGAGAGCAATCGAGTCCTTATCATTAAATCCCGAGGTCTTGGAATAGCCCAGGTGGTTTGTGCCAGATAATGATATGGCGGAAGGAGTTTATGTTCCCGCCGCACCTCCCTTCAAATGTGTGTAAGTGAGGTGGTTAAAGTTGAAGTAGAACCCATGAGAGCAGAGTACTGAGTGAGTTGGATGGTCCCCCTAAAAGTAACATGCTCTCAGTACGCAGTACCTAAACAAGGCTGGATGGACCGAGCCACGGGCGCCACATCGACCACCAAATGCGCAGGGGCTACGCCCCCGCGTAAGCCCTCCAATTGGCCAGTGATGACCGCCCATGGTGTCATCTTCAATACTAGTACGTGGAGAGCTCCCGTCCCTATTACATCCCGGACATATTGTCGACGGCGATCCTTGGTTTTTGGTTTATTTGCTAGCGAAAAAGCGACCACCCCTGGCTCGAAAAAGAGGACACAACAACGAATATCTGGACGGTACTTCGAAAAAGTGCCCGTGACTTGATCAACCCAGTCGGAGATACCAAGCCACTCGAGTACAACTTCTCGTCAACCCGCGCATCCGGATAGCCTAAGAATAGGCATCGAAGCTACCTCAGAGGACACGTCGATACAACACCAACCCACCGTCGACAGCTCCTTTGCTATACCTACCCTTTTGACCTACGAACGACGACAAATACTTTTCCAAATACCACACGCAAGCAAACACATACACACAATGATCCGCTCAACTCAAATAGCAAGGCTTGACGGTACGCACGCGCGCGCGCGCACCCATCCCCATACCAAAAGCCACCCTTCACTAACACCCAGCTCCCCAGGCCTCATGCTCTGCGCTTCCGTCGACGACGAGCAACAAGAAGCAGCTCTCTCCGAAGTCAAGTCGCAAATCAAGCAAGTCCTGCGCAAGCTCACCCGTAACTCGGAACCCCAAGCCAGCATCGAAAGCGGCGCCTACAACCTGAAGTCCGTCTACCCCTCTCCTGTCTACCCCTTTTACACCGAGAGGAGCCAGTCGAAAGAAGAAGAAGGAACTCTTGCTAACCTTTGTGTCCAAAACAGCTACCTAATGGACTCGGACATCACCTTCATCTGCATAACAGACAAATCCTACCCGCGCAAGCTAGCCTTCACCTACCTCTCCGACCTCGCCCGCGAGTTCACGACAACCTACCCCGTTTCCCAGCTCCACTCCCCCTCCCTCCGCCCCTACGCCTTTATGGAGTTCGACACCTTCATCTCCCGCACAAAATCAACCTACTCGGACGCCCGCGCCTCCCAGAACCTCGACAAGCTCAACGACGAGCTGCGCGACGTGACCAAAGTCATGACCAAGAACATCGAGGACCTCTTGTACCGCGGCGACTCCCTCGAGCGCATGGGCGAGCTCAGCTCCCGTCTGCGCGACGACAGCAAAAAGTACAGGCGCGCGGCTGTGAGGATCAACTGGGAGCTGCTGCTCAAGCAGTACGGCCCCCTCGGAGCGCTGGGGTTCATTGTTATCGTCTTCTTTTGGTGGCGGTTCTTCTAAAGTGAGGGACGGGGTTTGGTTTGCCTCCTTTGGCGATGCAAATGAGGACAAGGAACGGTTTTCTTCCCTTCCTTTGGGGGTATTGGATCCTTTGGCCTGAGAATGGCAAAGGTTCTTTGACGATGTTGGGCGTTATGTTGGCGACTGTGTATATCTTTCTTGATTCATGTACATCAATCAAACTACGGCACGGACTTCTCAGGCGGATGCAGGGGAAGACGGAGAGGGGCAACGAAACAAGAATTGGTTTTTGCGCCTTGAATGTGGATTGTGATCCAGCACTACCTGACTGTGGTATCTCTGTTGCTGCATCGGTCTGTCCAGACCGGTGGTGAGGACCATCCCCAACATTTGAAGAGGTGGAAAGCCTTCTGACATCGAGTAAAGTAAATAATAATTCCATAAGTCGTAGGTGCGGATGAGACATCGTCCGCCCTCTTTGGAAGCCCCCAACGCCTCGCCATTGTCAAGACCACACACTGTGAATATATGTACACGAACGAACGAACCGCCGTTTTTACGCCACCAACAAACATCGTTGTCGAATTAATGATGTCACATCACCACGCAGTCCTTGGCTGCCTTGGGCAAGGGGACGGCGGGTATCGATGCAGCTGTGTGTTGCCACTCCAGGTGCTCCTGGAAGGCCTGGAGATCTTCGAAACCGGATTCGTCCTGGGCATTCCGCATTTCATCGTCGCTATCACCGCCTGCCTCGGTATATGGCGCCTCATCGCAGAAAGGACATAGGAGTCGAGCTACCCAGTCTCCCTGATACGGCGCTATATGATTCGCTATTGCTAGAGGCGCAAATATGACCGTCTTCTCCTCTCTTCGTTTATCGGCGGTGAACCCGGTCGCCTGCCAATTTGGCATCCCGGTCGTAGGCGAAATAGGCGGTACTGGGCGCGTGCTGGATTCTTCGGCTGTCCGTAATGATGGCATGCTCTCCAAGTCCTCCCATACAAGATGGCCGTCGCAAAAGTCGCAAACGAATGCGATGCCTCCGTCGCCAAACCGCTCGAACTTGCCACTCGTGTTGCATGCTACTACCTCTTCCACGTGTCGTCGGTGGTGCTCCTCCTCCGAAGTAGCTGGCCGACTTTGCCATTCCCGCTGTTTCCTGTAGACGAGAAAGGCGCCCAGGCATCTTGCCGAGGCCTCTTGCTCTGCCCCGAATATCCTCCTAGCCGCTCGGCATTGTGCGCGATGCAGTTCGCGGCGCAATTGCGTCGTTTCTCGTGCCCAAACCGGATTGATCGGTCCGCCTGTTCTCGCCCAATCTTTAAAGTTGTCGATATGATGCTCAACCTTGGACTGTAAAGCTCGCAACTCGGCTATTGACGGAGCTTGAAGGCGAAATAGTTAGCGAGGGTTCATATATAACCAGCTGTGCGTGACGTGAGCTAGCACGAAGCGAGATTTGATGGGGAGCTGGCTGGTAATCGCAGAGGCCTCCCTCCCTCCGCTGTACGGCAGGGCTCTGGAAAGTCTCGACCAATCTCCCAAGCCAGCGCAAAGTAATCAAGAACGATGTAAGTGTGCTTGTGAACTCACGTTTGCGGTCGTTCATATAATAGCGCTGTCCGTTGACAAGGACAGATAGCTCCTGAAAGTCCTTCTTGGCGTCGTCGAGAGTATCCTCCAGCAGGCGCAATTGCTCGTGCTCGTCAGGTCCCCATTGGCGCTTATCGGCGAACTTCAAGATACGCAGGCCATCGCTGACGAGTGTCGCAATGGCAGCCAGAAGGGACCCGACGGTAGGGCTGCTCATGATTCGGCGAGCCCTCCGGTTCCCTCGAAAGTGTCCTTTTCGAGGGAATCGTTGGGGGGATCAGGAGAGTGTTGCTTGGCGGCGGCGACACAACAATGGGATCGAGGGGTAGTCGGATTTTGGCGGTGCGGTGCGGCGCGCGCCCCAATGATAAATGGGCGTAGGAGCGCCCCCTTTGGGCCCTTTGGGGGGTAAAATATCCCGACTGGGGGATCAGGGGACTGGAGCTGGAGCTGGAGCTGGAGCGAAGTGAATGGCGGACGGCGGGCGCGGGCACGCGGGCGGCACGGCCACACCGTCCGAACAGGTTTTGTAGCTTACGTTTCCCGTAGAGTAGGCCTTGGCTCCCTCCCCTTGGAGCGAACGGGGTGCCGGGGACGACCCTATTTGGGATGATGAGAAGACGTCAGGTACGCGTTGTGGAACTCCACTGTCCACTGCGTACGAGGCAGCGTGGACCTCGAATCCCCGTCGATCGAACCGAAGGTCCGGAGCTCTGCTTGGCGGGTGCGTTCGCTGTAGTCCGGCGAACTTTTGGGTGTGGCTTGTGTGCCTGTGTGCCTGTGCTTGTGCTCTTTGAAGCGTGCTAGGCGGGCTTCAAAGTAAATTTCTCGAAGTGGTTGTTGCTGGGGGACCCTATGCGGCCGTCCGTATGTCATGACCGGAGCGGACGCATGGGACGAACTTGGAGTGATGGACGGGGGAACCCGGGCATGTGACAAACGGAGGGACCGAGAGGCTCAAATGGAGGTTGAATAGGTAGAGGAGGAACCCACGAGACGGCAACGAGGAAAACGTCGAGGGACAACGTGGTGAAAGGATGGAAAGTGTAGTGCAGGCAGGAATGTGGAAAGAAAGTTTAGGGAAAAGAAAAGATACGAGACAAAAGGACACGGAAACCAGAGCGAAAGAAAAGAGACTGGAGAGTTTGAGAAAGATTGCGTTCGGTCGTTTATTTTCCCTTGGTTGGTTGGTCCCGGTGTGTGTGTTTAGTTGACTGCGCTGGCTGGGCGAAGGAAGGAACGGACTGGATCCAATCTTCCTAACTTCTAAAAGACAAGTATTATGCGGCTGTCAAAGACGGAGGAAGGTCGAGGGAACTTTAGGTTTTGAGGGTGCCTCTGAGAGTGGATGACCTGGTCAGCCATGACTGCTTTGGGCAACTTTTAACTCTTCGTATTGTCGATGACATTTGCAAGGCCCCAACCGGAGAGGGTCCAAGGGGAGACGGGGAGTGCCCTTCTTGTTTGCTTCCCAAATCCCGTCACCTTCCATGAAACCTGCAGAACCACCTCACGTTCATCTTACGAAATACACATTCTGCCTTCACCTTGAATCCATTCCATTCAAACACTGAATTGCGTGGACACGATCCGATCAACCGAGTTCAGGAGAGGCCAAGAGCTATTTGCTATGCAGCTCAGGAACGACGGCAATCATTCTGAACTATTTTCGGTATACAGATCCCGCAATTCTCCACCTTTTGACGAAAGACCGACACTAAAAGGTCTCCATGCCACATGGTCCATAACTCGGGTACTAGGTGGTAGGGGATGAGCAATGGATGCCTAGGTGCTCCGTACCCTACCTTATTACATGCTGACCTTACCTTAAGGTAACGTGCTTAATTACCGTCTACGAATACCAGCACCTTACCTTGAGGTATGAATAGCCTAGTGCGTAAGGTAAGGTGAGGCACCTCAATCGAAGAACAGGAGCAAAGCAGAACGTGGAGCTGGCACCGTCCTAGCCCCAAAACACAACCGTTGGAAGGGGACCTGGCGTCATCCCTCTTCGGGCCCTTCCAGGTTCCCCAATGGAACTCTCTGATAGGCGCGGTGACATACGAGCTTGTCTCTGCCCTACCAGGCACGGGGCTCCGACAGCTGCGAACCCCCCGCCAAGCGACTCTTCTGCCGGGGCCCCTGTTCGGTTCGGGGGGCACTCTTACCTTACCAAGTAGTCTGTCACGTCTCTCAGCGGCATCTTTAGCCGCGAAGCGACCCTCAGAAGAGTTTCCGTGCCGCAAAGGGGGGGCCATTCTTCTACCCGTAGGCCGTGAACCTTACAAAAGGCAAATCAACGATCTGTCCGGTGGGATATTGCAAGCGTGTTGAGGTAGTAATTATACGTATAGAATACGGATGTCTGTTGGATCTTCTGCCCAGATTTTCACTTGACTTGGCTTGTCCGGTCTCCCTTGTACACAGACATGCGGAGCCCCCTTTTCAGCTGAACAGTTGCTTGTTGCTTTTCCTCAACACTTTCTTAGTCGTCTCGTCCTCTGTCCAAGCGTGCATGCGGTACTTTGATGTGCTTTTGCAGATGAGATGCACCATGCGCGAGAGATGTGAATTGCGATGAAGACTGGACTTGATCACATTTGTAGCCTCATGTCTCGACTAGCTATGTCCCATCCATGCTAGTCATTAGGCAGTACCCTGGACACGTAGCTGCCAAGGCTCATGTGTATTACTTGTGCCCGACTCCATGATGTACACGATATTGGCTGCACTCTCTTCCTCAGCCGTATAACATCAACTAATCACTTTCTCTTCTTGGCCTTGCCGGTGTCGGCACCCGTGGCCTTACCCGCCACTTGCTTTACCTTCTCGACAGCGGGGTCGGTCTCAAGTAGCTCCTTGGCCTTGGCCTTAGCCGCATCGTCCTCTTCATCCTCACCACCCTGGCCGAACTCGTTGACACGAGAGTAGTCGATTCTGTAAGCCCAGCGCTGATAGAGGTAGATGAAGAAGATGATGTCGTCGCGGAAAGTGGACAGACGGTGGAGGAACGGCATCTTGATGGTGAATGCAAAAAGGTCGTCGATAAAGGTGTTGAGGAACTTGTAGATCATGGCCTTGCCAGGCATATGTGCAACACTCTTGAGTCGGTAGTTGATGTAAAGCGAAGGAACCATCATGAGGAAGCCGTAAGCATACACCGATCCGACGAGCGTGGCGATGATGTACGAGTACCAAGACTTGTGCGTCTCGTAGACCAGCGAGTAGATGGCGTAACCGATGAGCAGAGGCACACCAGCCATGTACATATACTTGAAGGCAATCTCGTCGTACTCTTTGGTCTTTTCCTCCGTCTCACTGAGCTTGTGCTTGTCCTCGACAACGATCTTAAACGGCAGCAATGAGCCTGCTGGCGCAGCCTTGACGGCAACGTTGACAATGGTGGTGATCTTCCACAGCTCAATAATGATGCCGATACCCTG